TCTTCATGTTTATCCCTCTAGGCACCCTTTCAAAATTCAGCAATTTTGTTTCTTTGAATAACCTCATCGTGCCATCTAGTTTGCCTTTCCTCTATTGGTGAAAGAAAATGGCTGAGTCAGAGCATTTGGGTACTTCTGGGAGGTAAATGGGAGAATTATCTATGGTTTTGCTTCCAGCTGGTCATAAATGGATATGCTGATTAAGCATACTCCCTTCTATATCCAGCCTATCTTCTAAACAATAATGGAGTCCATTCAATCTTGAACAATTTGTTCTTTTCAAATACATCATGTAGTTGATATAATGTAATATTTATGTAGCTTTTTTGCTGATTATTATATACAATCAATGTGAGAATTTGAAAGGGTGTAATTTATAGGCAAAAAGTAAGCTAACATGGTAAGCACCGCTATATGTTCTTATTTATCTGATTCCATTTAATTCTCAGGACAATTCTAAGTATATAATATAATTCCAGAACTTTGAAAGAAAGTTGATGGCTCAGAAATGTTAGTGGCTAAAATCTCTCCTCTCCCTCTCCCTCTCCCTCCTCCTCCCCCTCTCCCCTTCTCCCCCTCTTTCCCCCTCCCTCTCTTCTTCTCCCTTCCCCTTCCTTCTCCTCCTCCTTCTTCCCTCCCTCCTCCTTTCTCATGTCTCCTCTCTCCTATATTTCTCCCCACTCCTCTCTCATTTTGGTTCCATGTAAATTTTAGGTTTTTTTTTTTTTTTCCAGTTCCATGTAAATTTTAGAATTGTTTTTCCCACTTCTGTGAAGAATGACATTGATACTTTAATAGAGATTGCATTGACTCTGAAGTCACTTTGAACTTCTTTTTTTTTTTTTTTTTGGTCTTTCTGAGACAGGGTCTCCCTGTAGCCCCAGCTGTCCTAGAACTCACTATGTAGACCAGGCTGGCCTTGAACTCACAAAGATCCACCTGCATTTTGAACGTTTTTAACAATGTTGATTCTTCTAATCTGTAAATGTAAAATGCCTTTTCACTTTTTTTTGTTTCCATTTATTTATTTACTCATTCATTCATTCATTCATTTGTTTTTTTGAGACAGGGTCTCCCTGTAGCCTAAGTTGGCCTAGAACTTGCTATGTAGATCATGCTGATCTCAGTTTCACAGAGATCCACCTGTCTCTGCCCCCTGAGTGCTGGAATTTTTTTTATAACTGTTTTAAGTGAACTGCTTTCTTGATCTCTATTTCAGATAATTCACTGATGGGCATAGTAATGCTACTGATTTTTTTAAAAATTACTTATTTTACTTATTTTTATTTTAGGTGTATGAGTGTTTTGCCTGCATATATGTAAGTGTACCACGTGCATACAGTGCCCACAGAGGCCAGAAGAGGGTGTTGGATCCCCTGGAACTGGGGCCACAGAAGGTTATTAGCTGCCATGCGGGTGCTGGGAGTTGAACCCAGGTCCTCTGGAAAGACAGTAATGGGGCCATCTCTCCAGCCCCAATGCTACTGATTTTGATATGTTAATTTTATATTCTGCAGCTTTGCTGAGTTCATTAATTATTTTCAGTGTTTTTGTTGGCATTTAGGGGATTTTCTCTATAAAATATCAAGTTAACAGTAACAATCTGAATTCTTTTCCAGGTTAGATGCCCTTTAGTTAGGTCTCTTCTCTTATTGTTCTAGCTAAGACCTCCAACGCTACATTGGCTAAAAGTGGTAAAACTATGAACATCCTTGTCTTGTTCCAGGTCATAAAGAGTTCTCCAGCTTTTTTCTGGTTTGACATGGTTTTCCTAGTTTGTTGGTTTGGGGTTTATATAAATAACCTCTATTATGTTGATTCTTACATATTTACTTTGTACCATGAAGGGTTATTGAATTCATAAAATACCTTTCCCGCATCAATTGAGATGAGCATGTAGTTTTTACCCTTCATTCTATTGATTAAAATGTGTCACATTAACCGAGCATGGTGGTGCACGCCTGTAGTCCCAGCATTTGGGAGGCAGAGGCAGGTGGATCTCTGTGAGTTCAAGGCCAGCCTGGTCTACATAGTGAGTTCCAGAACAGCTGGGGCTACAGGGAGACCCTGTCTCAAAAAGACCAAAAAA